AAACTGCTCTCTTGGCCATTGAAGAGTTTAAATACTGTTTCTTTGTTTTGCAGGTTAGAATAACAGAGGGAGCTTCTCTATATTCACTTTGTAGATCGTGGTTGAGAAATGGTGCTCATGAGGGAGTTCAGGTTCGCATCAATGTCTATTTCTGCTTTGTAGTTTGATGTATTTTTTTACCTTTGGAAGATTAATGACTTTTTTTTTACAGCGGCAGCGAAATTATACAATGACATCTTTGCCAAAGCCTTTACCTGTGGAGATAATAGAGACAAGCTTGCCAAAAGATTCAGTTGAAGAACCAAATCACGAAGAAGACAAAGAGGTTCTGTGTCTCTCTGATTTGTTATCTTAAAACATTATTTGTGAATGTAATGCTAAATTCCATGATTTAATTCAACTTTTTGATGAGTTGCAGGACGAGGAATCTGTGAAACAGTTGTCGGATTCTGATCTTTTGAAAAGACATGTGGACCGAGCTAAGAAGGTCCGCGCTCAGTAAGTCCCACAACATTTCTCGTCAAATCAAAGTGGTTTTCTTGGTGATTAAAGATGGAGTTTTCGTTATTGTGAACAACATTGTGGGTTTGTTTCGTTTTTTTTTTCAGATTGAGAGAAGAACGGTTGAAGAAGATCGCGAGGTACAAGTCAAGATTGGCTCTTCTTCTGCCACCATTTGGAGAGCAATGCAGGAACGAGAAATGATTTAAAGTTAGTGATTTGTATGTGAATATTCTTGCATTCGATTCAGAAAGGTTACCTTAGAGGTGTGTGTGTTAAAGCGTGTCTTTGTGTTCTGTTCTTTATTGTCTCCTTTTAGAGTCGTTTTAAATTGGGATTCTCTTGTTCTTAATTTTGATATATTATTAATCAGTGTAACAAAGATTAATGAATAGTTTTAAACCAATAACTAATAGTAAGGTTCTAATAAATTGTATTATATCGGATTTAGAAGAATCGTAGGTTAAACTTCGTGGACCAATAGCATAAGTTGCAGAGTCAACGCAACAAAAGCATCTTTCAAACACATGTTTGTTTGTCTTTGATCGTCTACTTCGAAGATTAATGGTTCTTTACGCATTCACAAGTCTCCATATAATGTTAATATTCTTTTCGTAATTGTTACAAAAAAAAGTGTTAAGAATAAAAGAATTGATGCCTACGTTCGTGTTTTAACACCTGTGTAACAATATTAAGCGTTTTCACTATATGATTGATTGATAAACGAAGAAACATGGTAAGATCGGATTGGCTTGGTTACATATCGAATTTGTTTTAGTTGTATTTGATATAAAATAATATTCATGGTAATTAATATAATATTTGTGGTATGAACAAGAAAATCGCACTAACCCTTGGTTGAATAATATAGCTACTTACCTGTCGAGTCTTCTTGACTCGTGAGACAATTTTATTATTCTTTCTCGTGTTGAAATTTGAAAACGATTTGAGTTTTTTCTCCCCTACAACATTGAGAAGAAAATTCTATACTTAATTTTTTTCGTCGTTAGTATTTGTGACATAATTTTTGTCGGAAATGTTGACTTCAAGCTACACATACGTACTTGATCCAAATCCCGAGATTGATCATACATAACATAATTCAAGATAAAACAATTAATTCTCTCGTTTTTCTAGATCCTTATGAAATTAGAGGGAAAGTCAGAGAAGCAACTGACCTCATAGAAATGTGTTGTATTTTAGGAGTTTCACGTTAATTTAATGACTCTCCAAAAGCAAATTTAAAATATAATTTTATAAGGTATATTCTTATAGAATCTTCAAAATGTTCTAGTTCGTTTCTATATTATCTTTTATAAATACCAAATCTCCCCCCCAAATTTCTCGCCAAATTCCACTTACAACGCTACCTCTTTCTATGTAAGGTTCATCTTCTCTCCATAAGCATGCATGTGTGCATTTTTTTTATACGTCCTTTGATTTTTTTAGATTATTTATACGTTAATTAACCTTTTATATCTTGCAGTAAACTTTAATAATAAAACAAAACCAAGAATAATAGATTGATTCCTCACGTTTCAAAAAGGGGATCATAAGTACTTGGCCTCACACATACTTTTCCTTGACATTTTCAAAAAAGATAACCTTCGACAAATCGCTTATTATAAACAACATTAAATTTTGCATAGATTTTCACTTACCATCACATGCTTATGTTCACAACTATCTAGACGATATAGTGTATAATTTATTTACATGTTATATATACTAGCTCTTTGTGATCAAGAATTGTTGTGGCTAGATTCTCTCTCAGGTAAGTGAACAACAGAGAAACAACATAATGGCGAGGAAAGGGAAAGAAGTGCTGAACGCTTTGGACGCGGCCAAAACGCAGATGTACCATTTCACAGCGATTGTAATCGCGGGTATGGGATTTTTTACCGATGCTTATGATCTCTTTAGTATATCTCTCGTTACCAAGCTTCTTGGCCGGATATATTACCACGTTAATGGCTCCAAGAAGCCCGGAACGCTCCCTCCAAACGTTGCTGCCGCTGTTAATGGAGTTGCGTTCTGTGGTACCCTCGCTGGCCAGCTCTTCTTCGGTTGGCTCGGTGACAAGCTCGGCCGCAAGAAAGTTTACGGTAACCAATTTGTTCATTTCTTTGGCTTAGAAAATGTTCCATTAGTTACAAGAACGTATAATATGTTATGAAACTCACAATTTACTACTTCAAAATATCCTTTTTAGTTTCTATTCTAAACAGATCAATTCAATCCGGTCGGTATATACTAGATTATTATGAAATTGGGGGAAAAAACTTGATTTAACTGAAAACTATAAGTAATAGATAAATTGATCGGAGCCACGGAAGTTATCGAGAAAAATATCTCAATACTAATGACTCGTTACATTATTATATATGGATATACATATAAATTTCCATAATTCAGAAAGTTAGCTACTGAGTTATTTTTTCTTATTGTCCATAAAATTTGGATAAACTAATGTCTAATGAAAATATTTTCCCTTTGCGAATTATTGATATACAAATATAGGTATTACCTTGATGGTCATGGTACTGTGTTCACTTGGCTCGGGTCTATCATTCGGACACTCGGCTAATGGAGTGATGGCCACACTCTGTTTCTTCCGGTTTTGGCTCGGTTTCGGCATAGGCGGCGACTACCCTCTCTCGGCAACCATCATGTCGGAATACGCCAACAAAAAGACACGTGGCGCGTTCATAGCCGCCGTTTTCGCTATGCAAGGCTTCGGAATCTTGGCTGGAGGAATCGTATCTCTCATCGTCTCGAGCGCGTTCGACCACGAGTTCGATGCGCCGGCCTACGAGGATGATCCAGTGGGGTCCACCGTTCCTCAGGCGGATTATGTGTGGCGGATTGTGCTCATGTTTGGAGCTATTCCGGCGTTATTGACTTATTATTGGCGGATGAAGATGCCGGAAACCGCTCGGTATACCGCTCTTGTTGCCCGGAATACCAAACAAGCTGCCTCTGATATGTCTAAGGTACGTTCCAAACTAATAATACTTGACGTAGGAATCTCTGATGATTTAACTATTTTTACATGTCATCGTAGTGAAACAAAAACAAAATACTCTTTTGTAACTAAACTAACTTTAGATGAAACCAACTCTAGATTTTCCATAACTTCAAAGTATGTAAAATGTTGTATACTTTTCTTGTCATAAAATTTTTGTGGATGGGATCGCGAAATTGTTTGATTAAAAACTTAATTTCGTAAGATTGTATGATTAGTTATTTAAAGTGACGTTATTACGTTGCTTTGGTGTTAAATTTTCGGAGTTGTGAAATGATTTAACATAAATCCTTATTTCAAAAATTTGCATGTTTTTCAAAATAACATCACAATTTGGGTATTCTCTTGGACGATCATACAATTTATTTATTTTTTGAAAATGACCATCATATAATTTCGTGAAAATTACTTGATTTTAATGACAAAAATCAAGTGATTTTGCAATTATACAACCACAGCTTAGATAAATTGTTGTAAAATTTCAAGTTTTATTCAAATTAATGTAATTTTTGTTTTTTAAGAAAAAATCAAACTTATTTGCAAACAGGTCCTTCAAGTGGATCTAATAGCAGAAGAAGAAGCACACTCTAATCCATCTTCATCAAACCCTAATTCCTTCGGCTTATTCTCCGGCGAATTCGCTCGCCGTCACGGTCTCCACCTCGTCGGAACCACCACCACATGGTTCCTCCTCGACATCGCTTATTACAGTAACAACCTCTTCCAAAAAGACATCTACACCGCAATCGGATGGATTCCCGCCGCCGAAACCATGAACGCGATCCACGAAGTCTTCACCGTCTCCAAAGCTCAAACCCTAATCGCTCTCTGCGGCACCGTCCCTGGTTACTGGTTCACCGTCGCGTTCATCGATCGAATCGGTCGATTCTTCATCCAATTGATGGGATTCATCTTCATGACTTTGTTCATGTTCGCTCTCGCGATTCCTTATGATCATTGGAGACATAGAGAGAATCGAATTGGTTTCTTAATCATGTATTCGTTGACGATGTTCTTCGCGAATTTTGGTCCTAATGCGACGACGTTTGTTGTTCCGGCTGAGATTTTTCCGGCGAGGTTTAGATCTACTTGTCATGGGATATCGGCGGCGTGTGGTAAAGCCGGAGCAATTGTTGGAGCTTTTGGGTTTCTTTACGCGGCGCAGAGTTCGGATCCGGAGAAGACTGATGCTGGTTATCCTCCAGGAATCGGAGTGAGGAATTCGTTGTTGATGCTTGGTGGTGTGAATTTCTTGGGGATAGTTTTCACTTTGTTGGTTCCTGAATCGAAAGGGAAGTCATTGGAAGAGCTTTCTAGAGAAGACGAGGAGCAGATCGGCGGCGATGCTGCGGCGGACTTGACCGCGGCAAATTCCGGTAGAACAGTCCCGGTTTGATCATATATTAAGTTTCTTTAGATAAAGTTCAAGTTTTTTTTATCTTAGTGTCTTCTCTTTGGCTTCATGATACTTGAAGTTTGCCACTAAATGATGATGAGAGTATGTATATGGTAGACTACAAGAAGATTTAACAATTTGAAGTTTTTGTAGTCACATTCATACACGTCTCTGTTTCATCTCCTCCAATTTATCGAGAGATCGAATCGTAGGCAGAAAAATGGTCGAGGTACATGGAAGAAGGTGAATAGGAACATGGAAAAGCCTGATGAGTATAACGAACATGAAACAGAGGAGTGGAAAACAGAGCATTCACACATAACAAAATGTGGTTTTCTGATGAGTATAACGAACATGAAACAGAGGAGTGGAAAACAGAGCATACACACATAACAAAATGTGGTTCTCTGTTGAAAATGCCATTTGTCGATGAAAAACTTTCTGAAGTATTTGACATATTGCGTCTCTCAATTACAACTGAAAACACATTTGCTTTAAATAAACACAAATATTTATATTTTGATAACATCCTTAATGGATTACTCTTAACTTATCAAAAGAATAAACAACCAATGTTGTCAAGTCACAAGCCTCTACTAGTTTCCTTCCTTTGTCTTTTGCAGATTCTCTGGTGACACTAGCCTTGAGTTTTACGGGCATCTTCGTGCTGTTGATCTCGAATGCTCTGCCTCCAATGGTGAAGAAGTTCTGATGCGGAATTGCAGACTTTGCAGTCTTTGTGATTTATTAGACGCTCAAGCTTCTCCATGATCCTCCTTATTTCAGGAGCTGTCGAGCTGATGGGAAAGCTGATGAGTAAAGAGAGTTTCAACGCATATCGATGTCTCTGCATTAGCCGCGAGAAGTCCCTTTGCATTGGTCACATCTGCTGATTTCTTGGCTATTTCGAATAGCTCCAGCATCTCCGTTGAGTTCCTTCTTCAAGGCAGGACAACATTTAGGGTTTCCAGAAACTTTCAAAGGCGGCTGCCTATGGAGAGGCCTTGATGTTGCTGAAACAGACTTGGTAACGTCTGACTTGTTTCTGGAGCTGATGGACTCAAAAGGGAAACTCATGAGCAAAGAGACAGAGTCTACACAGAGAAATGTAATTTGCCAATTTATTCTCCAATCCACAAAGAAATCAATGTCACTTATACTTTGTAAAGCACTAAGTCTACCAACTCTTTGGAATTTGTCTACCAACTCTTCGGAATTTGAACGAGTCTTCTCCAATGCAGAAACAAATGATTAGCAACCACACACTTCAAAATTTATGAGAAAATATTGTTTCAACAAAGTAGTTATGTGTCACTTGAATATTTGATGTGCTTGAACCTAAAATCAACAAGTACACAGC